TCTTAAACTTTGAATGTTGCTGTGAATCCATTCGAAGCCAGTCAGTTGTTAACATTTGGGACTGGGATTTGGGGTTTTCTCAGACAAAGTTATGCATGAGCTCTTTTAGATTTTACATTTGTATATCCTTATGTTCTCCAGTAATCCCATTTTTCTAAATTTGTCTGCTGAATCATTGATTATTTTATGTGCATGTCATTCTGAAGCATGTCTGGACTTTTAAAATGGAAGGACATGTTAGTATTACTTTTCATTGATACATTTCAGATTTATAAAGAGCATTGCACTTTTTCAGGCCTACAGCTCAAATTCATTTCTGTATTTGGATTAGTTTCAACTATTGCTTGTTTCATCAGAATTGATTTGAGAATCTCTCGTTTCATCCAAGAAGAATGTATAATAAAAAGACTGGTAGCATGATTTGTCAGACCACATGCAGTTTTAGTAAATTCCTCAAATTGAGGATGATAAATCCAATCCACCAACATTATCAATCAGTAGTGCAACATATCTAGAAAATAAACCTGACTTGTGCACAGATTTTAAAGTGCATGAAGGAAATCAAGAAACTCAGAACTCAAAAACGATATGATATGGAAATCATGGGCATTTATTCAGCTTTAATTTGCAAGAAACATCACAGAATAGAAAGTAGTAAATTTCTTTCTCATGCGCCACGTTTTACTTTTGCCATAAAAAACATGGTTCCAAAGAATTCATTCAGTTAGATATTTGAATTACAAATTGATTTGAGAACAGTTCTAAGTGAGGTTTAAGCCAATAAGATTCATAGGTGATCATTAGAATTATGTAAATTACTTTTCCTGCGGAGCTTTGCCATTTGTTCCTTTCTTCCACTTTGCTTGCTTCTCTTTTTATTTTTTTCCTGGCTACCCTTCAGTCCCATTCTCAAGCTTTGTCTTCATTTTCTATTTTGACTCCCTCCTGCCCTTCATCTCCTCTCATGAGATGCTGCTGCCTGGCCTCAAAGGGAGCACTAGAAAGGATCCATCAGCCAGACTGCTACTCTCAGGAGAATGCATCCAGCATGTTCCTCTGTTCTACTCCGTTCACTATTATATCTGTCCAACCTCAGATAGCCTTTACTGTAGATCACAGGGTGTGTTTTCATATTTTGTGCAAAGCTGTATAGAGCTGTATTTCTACGCCTTGTTGGACACCAGCCGTTGTACCGCGAACGCATTTCTCCAAGCTAAATTTTCTGTCGTTATAATGGTACATTTCTCCACGGATTATGTTTATAATACTGTATATTATTACATGCTATGGTGTAAACAGTGATGGACTGGCTGTATATTTATGTGTGTTTTGGAGTGGTGGATGAAGGGGTCACAGAAAGAATACCCACAGCAGATTTAAGGCATACTGAATTAATCTGTCAGAGGTATCTGGAGGGGTTTTTAAGCAGCAGCTGGAGATGTTGGTGTGGAACTTTAAGCCTCCATGCTAGCCCAAAACAAAGCCTCATTCATCCCCAAATAACAACATCTGGGCATGCTTAACAGCATGGATAAATAAACAAGCCCTATGGACACTAAATCCCCCGCATTCAATCACTCTCACATCCCCCACCTCTACCCATTCCCTCTTGCCACTCTGAAGGCTGTTGTTGGCGTGGGACTGGCACATCAGCACTGATAGTGTGCATCCAATTAATTAGCCGAACGTTATCTCATTAGCGATAGCCAGAAGACTAAAAAACAAGAGCACTCCCTTATAGTTGCAAACATCCTCCGGTCAAAATGTGGATGATTCTCTCCTCCTCCCCCATAACCTCTGTGATCTGTTGATGCTGAGTAGGAGGGCAGAAGCAGAGGCTTGTGAAAGCTGCCTGGTCTAAGTGTCCGTCGTAAAAAAAAAACTGCTATTCCTCATGGCTCACATTTAATCCACAGCTTCAGCAGAATTAAACAAGCCCAGCCTCCAGCATGTCCTAATGACACTGCATCAGGAGGCAATTTAATGGTTTCTTTGTCTTTAAGGTATCCGTCTTTGTGGACATCTGCAGCATTAGCACAGCGCTGTAAGCAAAAGTCAGCACCATCTGACATAGTTCTGAATCCCATGCATTCCTCAACACCTGTGCCTCAATGTTATTTAAAGCACTCAGGGGCTCTGCACCAAACACCCGCCACTGGCTATTTGCTTGTGTGTGTCAAATGTGCATGTGTGTACAGGAAGGAACTTGACTTCTTGAATATAGCAGCTATTACCAGTGGGCTGTTCGCAAAGCAAGGAACCACTAAAGCATGAAAACAAAACCCCTTTGTGTGAAAAAAGGGATCGCAATCTCATACATCTGTGAAGAATCAGCTGGATGTGAATGTTGGTGATGTATCAATGATGATATGTAAGTTTAAAAGAATGCATGAAGCTAAGATCTAGGAATATGTCAACTTCTACAAATAAAATTTCATTCAATAACCTTTAAGCTAATGTTCAATGGGATGATTGGCCTAGCCAACATTCAGGTTTAGTTCCTCGAAAACCGATTTTCAAGTCAAAGAATGAAAAAAATGATATCCTTTGGGCCACAAGAAATCTCGGTGAGATTGCCGAGTTTGTTTGACAAGAAGTAGTACAATGGAGTACATGCCCAGCTACTTCTTATCTTCGGTTGTTGTGTCATGGTGTGTTGGTGCTTATCATCTGTCCCCGGTTCTTCAGAGTAGTAGGAAGATTTCCTTCAGGCTTTTCCAAGGCAGAGCATTTTTTTTTGGGTGTAGTCCATTTCTGTGTACAACACTCCAAATGAAAATAGTATCTCATCCCAATATTACCTGACAACCTCATTTACTCCACTTGGAGACTCACAGCATAATGAAGCAAATAAATGGAATGTGCTATTAACATAAAAAAGGGAAATAAATTAAAAACAGAGTAGTTAATAAGGTTAGATTGCAGCCTGTGCTGAATCTGGACTCAATCTCTTTTAAAGTCAAAAGGTCTATTCCAGAGGGATAGAAACTAATTGCGGAAGCTTTTACCTCTAACTGTCTTCTTTCATTTAAAAACAGTAATATAGTTTCCATAGTTAACCGTGCTAAATAAGTACTATTCAGTTTTGGTTTATTTGAGGCACTCGGTCAGCTGAGTAGTGATTCATTTTCTTGAAAATAATATAAAAAAAGCAAAATAATATTGTATATACTAAAATCAAAAGTATTCAGCCATTTACTGTTTCTAGCCTTCTCTGCTCAATTGCTTGTTTGCTGGCCACAGTTCACAGATTTCATAACCTGCTCAGTCCTCAAGTGGTCTTTCAGTCAGCCTTTAGTCTGAGCCTTTTCTCAAACAGCAGGTATGCAGAGATTAGCAGGGAAAATGGGGGATATAAATTATCCTTTACTGCCCACTGGGGCCACTGATTGTACCGTTCTACATGCAAATAGTCATGTTGGTTACATCGGGGGAATAGCAAAGCACAAAGTGTCCTTGATTAATCACTGGCTGGCTTTTGTGAAAACAAAATGAAATACACACATTACAGTCTTGTAATGTGATAATTAATACACAAACCGATGATGCTGTAAGCCTGCGTGCTCTGATGTATTTACCATGAGTTCTGTTATTTCTCAAGTGTTGTGTGATTAGAAAGTTTGAAGAAAGGCCATCAGTGACATCATGATTATCTTGCCTTCAATATAGCCATTTATCTGGCAGCACAAAAAATCAAAATGTCACATAAATGGCAGGTCTGTAACTAGTTTCTTTACGCTGCACTGCAAAGCATGGACGTGAACACAGCCATTCACCTCACAACAATCTTTCTTCCTTAACAGCTCCCCAGATGTCTGCTCAGTCCCCTTTAATCTCATTTCAGGAATTTGTTTCGCTGTCTCTTGGGCGCCCTGCGTTATTGCTCTTTGCAGTACTTCAGGCAATTGTATAAAAAAAAGTGTCTTAGTCTCCTCACATGCCAGTTATAAATGCCTGGCACTGTAAGGTTCTCATCATTTAGACACTGACTGACTTTATAATCAAGTTTTGGATATGATTATAAAAACTGATATTTAAGCTTTTAGGAGCCTGAAAACAGGTCTTTAAGTTCACATGAATGCAAAAAAGGGAATGTGAGAAATTATTGTTGTCCTCTAGCCTAATAAAATCAAAATGTTATTTTAATCCTCTAATGTTGTGGGAAAATAACAAACCCTTTATCCCTTGAACCTACTAAGAGGTAACTGTGATAGATTAAATTTGATAAAAAAAAAAACTTTAGCTGAGCTAAACTCCTATCAATTTTGAGATAAAATAAATTCAAGACAATTAGCATTGATCAAGCTTTAATGTTATGACAGCTGTAGCTCAGGAGGTATTTGAAAGTTTCAATGTCTACATTCGCTGCAGTGTGGGTTTCCTCTAACTTTATCTAGTGTTTATTCAAACTGCATTTTAGGCAGTGTCAATTTCTCTGTGGAGTCATGACAGTGCGCGTAGAAATTCATTGGTTCTGTCATCCCACTCAAGATCTATAGCCCTCACATGCTTTCCAGCTTCCGAAAGCACAGCTCATTTATGTTCCTCACACACTGATGGTCGCTCCGCTGAATCCGGCTCTCATAACCCAGACCTCCTGTGTATTGGAGGTACTTAGTGACTTAGGAGAGCTCTGATCCCTGCTCAGGATGTTGATGTCTTATTTTAAGGGTGACTCTTTTCTGTATTAAATTATGTAAAATGGCAAAACCGCATTCATTTCTAAATTATTGTCAGTTGCGTCATTTTCATATTGTACTACACTATTTTCATTGTGTGTTAATCATTTCGGAATGTTTCAGTATTTCTTGTTTTGTGTTTTTTTATTTTTTTTTCTCATTGTAACTTGTCCACTCAACATAATTCTACTTTATAAGAAGAATGAAGTCACTTCTTAATTTTTTTTTTTTTAACATAAGGTGTAAACTGATTTAGATATTTTTTCTTTTGTTTCTTCAGATGGCCCTCTGGGACCACGGGGCCTTGTGGAAGCCACAGAAATGTGCACACAGGAGTGCCTTGTCCTGGGACATTCAGATAACTGCTGGATGCCCCCCACATTAGGAACATACCAGCAGCCAAAGTCCCCCATGTCCAGCTTTGGATCTCAGCAGGAGTGGGGTCCAAAGGACAAACTCCTTAATGGACACACCTTGTCCAGAACCTGGAAAAACGAGAGCGGACGCATAGAGCACTTTGGTGACAGGAAGCAGTTTGGGAGTGGAGAAGGACACTTTGGCAGTGGCATGGCTGATATTCCGCTGGTCAGCCTGAAGTCCTGCCAGTCGGCCTCATGTCCGGACAGCCCAAAGGATCAGCCGTTATAAGAGGAACTTTGCCTTTTTGCTGTGAAGCGTCCTGAAAATCCGGACACAGTACCCATCTCACCTGAACTCCTGTTCTGTTTTATTGTACCCTTTCTTCTTTCATTCTTTTCCCGCTTATTTTAATGCTTCTGCAGTGTAAAAGCCACATGTACTGTGTAGGCCACAAGATAGTGCTTATGCTCCGTTCTGTACAATGAATCTTTGCTATGGCTAATTTTTTTTGTGACTCTTCATGGATATCTTTGAGATTGAGTAACGTTCCCTGTCCACTTCGTGTGTGAAATGGACATGTGAACAAAGGACTTAAATAAAACACTAAAAAGAAAAAAAAAAAGGAAAAAAAAAGTACTGGCTGACCAATATATACAAATATTTGTGGTGTGATTGTTATTGAGTTGTTCAGGACTATATTAATCAACACAATCAAAGAAAATTGAATTACATTTCTGAAAGTGTTGCTCTTATAACACTGTTTGTGGACACAGTTTATTCTGTCATTGTCTCTGTGTTTGTAAATAAGACTTATTAACCATGATCATGTATCTGTTATATCCACAATGAATAGGATAGTTATAGGCTGTTGTTATAATAATGCCTTGTCATCAGGTTTGGGATTTCAGCTGGATAAACATTTTAAATGTGTCACATAGTACAACAAAAAAAAGCATTTTCCTAATTTAAAAAACAAACAAACTATTAAATCAAATTTTCTTAAAGCATCCCTGTAATTTAGTCATTGTTGCCCATAGTCCATAATGGTTTTGTTGAAAATTCATGAAAGCAAACTTTTTGTTGAAAAAAAAAAGAAAAAAAAAATTGTATGAATGATGTCAGTGCTAAATATGTGCATTACAAAAATGAAAAGTTCTGAAGGCTCTCCTCTGTAAACTAATTTTGAAAGTCTTGCGTACAGTTAAATAGCAATATATTTGTAAATGGCTAACTGTTTTATCTAATGTTGATCTTATTCCTGTATAGATTTTACTCAAATTGTAAATTAACTGAGTTCAATCTCTTAGCAGTACCTGCAATTTATGGATATATGTATGTAAATATATTATTTCCACGCAGATTATTATTTTCCACACATAAGAAAACACAGGTTAAGATAACACTTTAATCACTGTGCCTTCATGATGTTTCTCCAAATGATGAATTGTGATGACATTATTTAGATAACAAGAACATGTTGGCTACAAAGAATATTCCGTCTCATGATCAAATGCCTTATGCATTGAATGTTTGCCAAATTTTGAGACATCATCACACAAAGCGCAAACTCGTAAATCTTTGATTCTGAAAAACAAAAAGGCATGTGCAGATAATGGGTCGATCATGAAAGATCATCTGTAATACCACTGTCTTATTAGACTGGTTTTGTCCCACAGCATGGAAGGCAAATACACAATGGAATAGCATGCAAAAAGATGTAACTTAACTTGATTATTTTTGTGTCTTTCTTTTTTTCTCCTTTCTTTTAATGGGGATTCAGTGGGGTAGGGGTAGAGTTGAGTTGTGCATTAAGGAGCTGTTCATTTTGTAAAGCACTTTCATATTTATGTCACAGTATAAAAAAAAGTTCAGTGGGATGGAGTGGTTTGCTTATCGCAGTATGTTTGTCAGTTGTGAGGGTGTTTGACATCACTGATACAGAAACAAATAATCCTTGTTACTACTCTACAGGTATACAGCTACTGCAATAAATGTTTTACTTATGTGTCTGCTTAATTCGTGTAAAGGATCATTGCATCAGAATATCTGTGACTGTTCACTGTGCAAATCTTTTCCCCGTATGGATATCGGGCAATTTGTAAAAAACAAACAAAAAAAAAAACAGGCCAATTAATCGTGAGAATACAGTGCCTTTTAAAAAAAAAGATTTTGGGTAATTTGAGTCATTTTCTTTCTTATGAAACAGCCTATACATTTTCAATGATCTTATGTGGCTGTTTTTTCTGCGCATATATTTTAATAGAAAACAAGTACGACGTAATTATAAATGAGCCAAGCACAGATAAATGCGTTAAAACAACCACAAATGTGTCCTCTTTGGGATTAGTTCTTCAGGATGTGGTTTTGTTTTGCATTTTTTGTCCTTAAAGAGAACAATACTCTTTAAAAAAAAAAAAAAAAACTTCAGGGTCACTTTGGAGTATAACACGCCTTCCGCTGTATTGAGAAAGGGAAAATTATAAGAAGTTAAGATTTCTGTAAAATGTTGCTATGGAGATGAGAGCGAAACCAACATAATTCAGTCTTTATTGTTGGGTTTTCTTGTAAACTAAATGAACAGATGTGGACAAATTTAATTTGATTTTGAGAAGGATTTTTAAACTTAGTAAATTACTCAAGCCCGATTCAATTAAATGTTCCTTGCTTGTGAAAATGGGAGGTAATGTTAACATTGAGACTCCCTGATTAGACAATGCTGTTTACTTCAATTTGTTTTTTTTACCAGATAAGCATATGACTTTTGAAAATGACTTTACTAAAATATCAAACTAAGCTTTTAACAATAAGTTCTATAAATGCATATACACGTCAATCAGAAACTGTCTAATCACTATGCTGAACACAACAGGAAATAGGTATGAAATGGGCATGAAACACAAGTAAACACAACAAACTACGTTTTTTTAAACACATTGGTGGATCAGTTTGCAGATATAGCAGCCAGCATATAGGAAACAGTTCTCAGTAACCTTGATCTGTTTATTCATGCGTGACTTTTTAAGGAAGTGTCTCCGTTGTCCAAGAAACAGAAGGTAGCAAGTGACTAATTAAGCAACATAATCTGACATAGACACACTCAATTGAGCATTAATTTTTTTAAAACCAACCAACACAACTTTCAATGTTATTTATTTTACTAGGATGTCCAGATGTTGTGCTTCCAACACGTTCAATATATGTGGATATTGTGATTTCAATATCTTATTAACACCCAACTCTTGCATTGCAATTTAACCAAATGGATTTTCATGAAATCTACTTAACAAGCGGACGAGTGAAAAAAGAAAAAAAGAAAAGAACAGACCACAAAGTGACTGGATTTCAACTCAACATTTCAAAGCAGCTGTACTTGAAGGAGGAAGTGGTCAGGGGTCTTTCAGGATTACCTCCCTCACTTGTCGATCGGATGTGCAATCCCATCTTTCTGCCGCTCAGACCTGCGAATGTGGAATTTTTGTGAAAGAAACTCACCAAATGCTGTGATACTATCTTACCAGTTTTGCTTTTTATCCCATGCTATTGCATCAAAAACATGCATGCACATGTCAATCAATACGTAGAATCTACACAATGAATTCACATTTTGCAAGGAGACTGGGTTAAAAAACATTACTGAACACCATATTTTGCTCTTAAAGTACTAATCATTGGGTAAGTGTTTGACAGAGAAAGGCAAGAAATGCGAGAATGGCTTTCACGGCTTTCAGTCAAGGGCTTTGAGTGGTCAGCATTACCAGAAAAGCTCCGTAGAAAATAAGTCAATTTCTTTGATTGAAAGTTAAAAGATTTCACAGTGCTTGTCTATCCATGAGTCACACAATGAAAATATGTTTCATATGTATCTCCTAAGAAAAATAATCTTATTTTAAAAATCCATCATACCAGAAATTGGAGAAACCCAATTGTTTACATGTGTGACAAACGTTTCAAGTTTGCTAGTTAATATTCGTGAGCTTCACACTGCATGGTGATTTAAAACAAATGAATGGTCATTTTCTTTTACAGTTCAAGTGTTCTCATACAATAGCATTTAATTAATTGATAAACTTACTTTTTGTTTTGTCCTGGACTGCTGCCCTAAATGCCTGCTAAGGTCATTCCCAGATAAACAAAAGTGTGTTTTACCCAGTAAAAATAAGTATCACACAGCAGATTTCCATGTGCAGAGCTCTCTGTAACTATTTTTTTAATATTTCCCACGCTTGTTGGGATAACAGAGCAATGTTGTCAATTCATCAGCATCCGACATTAAAGTTTATGAAAACCATGCCGTAAAGGGGCAGGCACTCAGTGTAACTGGTGAAATAATTCTACTTTTTAAATTCTTTCAGGTTTTCTTTTTCTTACTGTAACCTTATTGGATATATTTATCAGCCATCGCCCAGTGGGGACCAGCTTAAATTCTGACTTGCTATGCAAGCTATCGACCAGTTCAAGAATAGTTTCTGAGAAGCTTCAAAGCTAATTGCCTTGGAAGTGAGAGGGGAAAGTAAATTAGTGTCACGCCACAACCAAGGAAAAAGGTTCCCAATTGCATTTTCTTTTTCCATGGCTTTGAGAATATTTTTCAGACAGGGAAGCCTCTGTGCACAAAAGGAGAAGAAAGTGAATGTTCAGCAGGGAATCAGTCACAGAGACAGCAGGCACATCAGACAGAAAGAGAGAGCTCTTCTCAAAGATACAGTAGACAGAAACAGCACCATCTACACATTTTGAGGGCTTCATTTGAAGATTGCAAAGGCCCACATTAATATTAGTCTGTATGAGCATTTAAGTCTCCTTTTGGGCTACTGAATGTGTGCGAGAATTCAGTTTTGGATCTCAGCCACACCAACAAACCATGTGGTCCTGTGAGCCTAAATGTTTTGGGTCAGAATGCAATTCTGTTTCGCTCACTTGAACAGAAGCTCTGTGGGGTGCCAAAATCTAAAAGCAGTTAGAGTGCAGCTATAAAAGGAGGTATGTTTCTCGGTAGATCGCACGCAAATGAAGGTAGGAGCTGAACAGCCCTGAAGCTGTTTAACCCTACCTGGCTTCCCTCTCCAGATATTTCAACCTCTCAGTCAAACAGAAGCCAATCTGTGCAGGGCCCCACGTGAGAAAATGTGAAAATTTGTCTCTATCCACTGCATAATTCAGAGATTTAGTAAAAGACTTTTTGTCAAATGAAAGCACTGCTGCAAAAAAACCAACAACATCACTTTTATAAATTATAGAAAACTTGTAAAGGTGATTTCTGGTAAGAAATTTAATTGGAAACCCATGAA